AAAGAATTAGGAGGTTTTTCGAGGGATTCATCCGCTCTCAATATTTAGCCCATGTACCTGCAGTCCAGAGGGCAGTTACCAACGCCAGGCCGCCACGTGGGAAGGGACAAAGCAGCTGGCAATTTGGAACTTGTCTCCACCTGCGGGTAACGGTTGAAGCCACGAGGGTAAGGAAGATCGTCATGGTCAAGGAGGTAGAAAGAGCAACGTGTCAAGAATCGCCCGGATGTACCAAAGAGAGAACAACTATAAGCAAAATGCACTGAGGAAAACATAGCCAAAGTAACTCTCTGTGACAGAGAGAAGCCGTTGAGAAGAAAAAACAACAACAAAAAAATGGACAGTGGTGGAAGAGGAACACAAGACTCCTGCCAATCGATGCGAAGAGATGCCAGGAGAACGTATTCTAAGTCCGGGATGAGAGGGGCAGTGTGGTCCTGTTCCGTTAAAGCAGCAGTCACGGACTGTAATGGATTGGATTGGATGACCCAAGGTGTGCTGAAATCCTAACCACTGTCCCTGAGGATGTGATGCTGCTTAGAAACAGGGCTTTTCTTTCACCATGTGAATGAGGTCATATCAGAGTTGGGTTGGCAACTCAACGTAACCCCTTCTGAGTTATTGAAAAGACAGAATAGACTCAAAGACACACACAGGGAAAGACAGACACTGAGGAATGCCACGGACTCTGAGCCTGTCAGATGGCACGAGCTGAAAGAAGGAGCCCTGGTGAGATGATCGGAGTCCTGGTGGTGCAGGAGCTAAAGCGCTCAACTGTTAAGGAGAGGCCAGTGGTTAGACTCCACCACTCAGCAGGCTATGATAACCTGCTTCTGTAGACGTTACATAGAGGCTTCTATAAAGATAGTAGCCTTAGAAAAGAAACCCTTTAAGGCAATTCTGCTCTGTCCTGTAGGCAGCAGTGAGTCAGATCAACTCAAGGATGGCAACACAATCGGTTTAGTTTTTAGTAAGCCAAAATAGGCCAAGAAGACCCTCCACGTCCTTAAGCCACACCCTGCATTCAGACTTCTAGCCTCCAAAAGTGAGAGAATGTAAGTTTCTGTTCCTTAACACTAATCGTTTATGCTACTTTTGTTAGACTAGCACTGGTTTAGCTCAGACCAGGACTGAGTGGCCTTGGTCTCCAGTCCACGGATGTGAGATGCAGACAGGCATAGATACCTTCCCCATCTCCACGGCTCTGCGATGAGCAGTGAAAGGCACTTCCCAAGTCAAGAACTTGGAGCAAAGGCACGTTTCTTAGCTCCATACAACATCCACAGGGTTGTATGCTAAGTGGTAGAAAAACTGGGTTGTAACTAGGATGGCTGCTGGGTTGTAACTAGGATTGCAGGCAAATATGGGCTCAACTTATTGTTAAGAGACATTGACAAATTCAGACCCTCTGCTCTTGCATGTAGCTAACCAAAGAAATAAATAAAACAAAATAAAAATAATAATAAAATAAAATAAATAAAAATAATTGTCTTAGTGAGTCATACCTCAGCATTCTACAGGACATTTCATACTCTTTCCCAGTAGGTCATGAATTCATATTATGATTTCACTCTTCACTCTCTGTTCTTTGAGTCCATGACCTCCAACAGGTAATCAGCTCTGTACAGTTTTAAGAGTACTATTTGTGTACATGCAAATCAAATATAGTCTCTATGTTTTTAAAGCTATCTAAGCTTTACATAAATATATTATAAAACATATTTTATTAGTGTGTAAAAATACTTATAATAAACAGGCTAGAGCTGAAATCATAATCAAATGCCTTTAAAAAGTCGAGAAATCGAAGACCTTGAAAGAGATGGGCTGACACAGTCACTGCAATAATGGTTTCAAATAATTGTGAGAATTATGCAGGACCAGGCAGCATTTCACTCGGGTGTGCATAGGATCGCTATGAGTCAACATGCCAAAACAATAGTTTGGGTTAGGAATAGATACTAAACATTTCCTGTAGGATACCCACTCATTCTAAAATAAAGCACTACCAAGAATTCTTAAGACAATAGAATTCCCTGGGCACTCAGCTAATCAGTGAACTCCTTTTAGAATAAAAAATTCTCATCTTTGTCCAGGTTCATTTAGGAATTGTGCTGTTGGTATTGATCAATGAGCACAGACAACTGTTGGATAACACAATGAATAAACACCAATGACCTTCTGCAATGCTTGAATCTTGTCATACACACACTCTAAGTACATGGTAATATGGTCAGTTCAATGAAGATAAACAGGACAACTCTCTGGTACCAGGATGATATCAAAGGGCTTCTTAAGTGAAATTTGTGGGCAAAAGTGGACCTGTGGGAAGTTTGCTGGTTTGTCTAAAAAGAAAAATCCCCATGTAGACTCTGGTCCATATTAAGGAAACACATAGAAGAAATTTCACAGACACCAATCACAGTCTAGGAAACTCATGGGGCAGGTCTACACTGTCCTATAAAGCAACTATGAGTCAGCATCATCTCGGTGGCAATGAGTTTGGATTGGTTTTAAAAAGTCAATAAATGAGGAGTAGTTTATATAAATGTATACAGATTTATTTCAAGGATATGAACCATGCAGTTGAAAGCTTGCAAGTCCCAAATGAGTGGGTCAGGTGCTAGACTGGAGGCTTCTTCTGACATGCAGTTTCAAGGGCTGACAGTCCAATCTTAGCAAATTAGAGGGCAGGGTGCTTGCTGACTCATGAGCATGCAGGAGCTGATGGCTCACATTCCAAAACCAGGGGTCAGAAGGTGAAAAATCAGATGTTGGAACAAGAGAGGTCAAACTTTGAAAATGAGGGGAACTAAATTGATGGAAATTTTGCTACTCTCGATTGCTATACTTTGTGCAAGACATTTTTTTCTAGCAAATTAAAATAAGTAACACTTATTAATATAAACTATTTTATTTTTCTTTTACTTTATGATCATTAAACTAACTTTATATTAGTATTGCTTCTTATGGATTGTTATAAGAGCCCCC